GGCAGGGTGGAGGAGGAGGCAGAGGGGACTCTTGAGCTCAGCCCCTAGAGGAAGGAAAAGGGTGGAGAGGGGAGTCCCCCTCAGCCTCCCTCCTGGCTGATCCCTGCCTCTTTATTTCAGGACATAGACATTAACACAGATGATGAGCTGGATGCCTACATTGAGGACCTCATCACCAAGGGGGACTGAGTGCAGGAGCTGGAGATCAGCTCCTTTGTTGCCCACCTGCCTTTCAACTCAGCAGCTTTGGGGGTGGGGATTTATTCATGGGTTGGTGGACTTACTTTGGTTTGATTCATATGGGACATTTGTGCTTTTGGAGGGAAAGATATTCTGATTCTTTGAATCTTCCTCCCTAAGTTTATAAATATTTATTTTTTAAAAGAAGATGCTGTGCCTGTGAGACTGTAACTTTTTTTTTTTTTTGGGTGACTCTTGGGCAAAGGACAGAGAATCTTTCCATTTTGCCACACTGGATTCCAAGCTGGTACCACTTTATTAGCTCCTCATGATAGTGGTGGGTCCAGTGCGATCTTGAAGTTGGAGAGGCTCCAGGGACAAGGATGTTCTAGATGATGGACAACATTGGGATCTGAGGGATGGGGGAAGAGAGACAGTCTCCCAGAGTGGTGGCCCTCCTGAGGGCTCAGATTCAAGGGGACTCACTGAGGGTTTTGTGTCAGAGGAGGTTCCACATTGGAGGGGCTCTTTTTGTAGCTTCCCATCTCAGGCAAGGGATATGAGTGTCTGAAGTTATTGGAGTCATCCTGGATGTGGCATTGTGAAGATGGCTTGGGGGAGAAAGATCCTCCCAGTCCACCTTCCTCACCCACCACCCAAGTTCTTTCTGAAGGAGGGATATCCTTGGCTAACTATGCACTGTGAGGTTTCCTGTCTCAAGTCCAGGTTGAGGCATAGCTGACCTGGGGAGCACCCAAAATGTTGCAACTCTACAGGATTCCTTAGGGAAGGAGCTTATTTGTGAAAGTGCTCCTGGTGCTGAGCTGGAGTAGGCCTCCATCTGTGGTACTGCAGCTTCAGGTGGTGCCAGTTGGTTGGAGAACCTGCTGCTGATTTTTCTACTTCCATCTCTCTGCCTGGCCCAACTGGCCCAAAGTCTCTGCTTTGGGGCAGGCAGGAGGAAGGGGACAGTGAAGTCCCCCACTGGCTGCAGGGACTCCAGTGGCAGCTCTGCAGGAAGCACATCATGCCTCTTTGCTCCCTATCTCATCACAGCCCCAGAATCTGTCCCTCAAACAATTTCTCAGGGTCAAAGACAAAGGCATGGGTTTCTGAGTTTTCTGTTTAATGCCCATTGGAAGAATTCTGATTCAGTTTTCCCCAACCCTCTTCCATTTGGAGCCTGTGGGTTCTCTGAAGGCACAAGAACTACAACTGTATATTGCTGATCTGTAATTCAAACCTCTTTGGGTGATGTTGCCAGCATCTGGCTAACCCAGGTGAGCAGTGACCATCCTGCTGCTCTGTGAGGTCTGCGGACAACCAGGAACAGTGGTGGGGAATAACAGGCCACAGTGGAATCAGAAGTCCCTACCTGTACTGGTCCGATGTGCCTGTGACTGGTGGGTTTTAGGCTTCTCCATACCCTATCTCTGGAAGGAGGGGTGTTGGAGGGAATAGTGTTGAAAGAGACCCTGGCCTCTTCCTGTAGAAGATTCTCTAAGAGTTAGGGTTTCTTGAGTTAGTGATTCCTCTCCCACCCAGCGCTCTCTGTTCATCCGAGGAAGCATGTAGTCCATTTTTGTCCCCAAGCCTGTTTTAAAATCAAGTTGGTTATGCATATTTACCAGAGGGTAATACTCAAGTTTTTAATTACACACATGTAATAATCAAAATGCAATACTATAAACTACTGGTGAGACATGAACTCAAGTCTGTTTTCTTCTCAGTAAAATCCAGCACCTTCTTCCTCTTTATTCTTTCTATTATTATGGCTTTAAACTGTCTTTGAGGTCTTCCTTCTGTACCATCTTCATTGTTTTCTCTTTACCCTCCTTAACACCCACAAAAACACATTTAATTTCTTAAATGTTTTAGCTTCAACTTCTGGATGTTCCCACTTTGCTAGGTTAATCCAACCACAGCTTTGCTGTTTCCCAGGCAAATGATACTATCATTCTGGAAGAGAAGGTAAAATGCAGCGGCTTCCCCCTCACTCCCACCTTCCTGAGAAAGTCAAGCACCAAGGGACAGCTCATCAGCTTGTAACTGTTTGACAACTTGAGGAAGAAGGTCTGGCTGAGAAGATCCTTTGTATAAGGCTGCAAGAAAGTGAGACCAGCCACCTGTTTTTTTAAGGAGAAGGATGGGGACTTTGTTGAGAACATGTGTTTTTGTTTTTGTAAGTGACACAGGCATAGGGTAAACATTCAAACAGTAAAAAAGGTTGGACTGTGAACATGTTCCCTCCCACCTAATACCTTAAATTTCCTTAGAGACAGTGTATTCTGTCCTGAGTGCCTGCACATTTCTACTTGTTTCCCCTTAATGTGGCTTGGAACATGTTTCAGAATACCCATATGGGTCTACTTTATTCTTAACCAGAGCATTTCATCATAACAGTCTCCTAGTTACATTCTGGTTGTTCCTAATGTTTATTAAAAACAAACAAACAAACATGATGTATATTTACTCATTAAAAAGGGAGATGGGTTGGCTTGGTGCCTGTAGCTCAACCGGCTAAGGCGCCAGCCACGTACACCTAAGGTGGCGGGTTCGAATCCCCAGCCTGGACCCGCCAAACAACAATGACGGTTGCAACCAAAAAAATGGCCGGGCGTTGTGACGGGCGCCTGTGGTCTCAGCTACTTGGGAGGCGGAGGCAGGAGACTCGCTTGAGCCCAGGAGTTGGAGGTTGCTATGAGCAGTGAAGCCATGGCACTCTACCCAGGGGGACAGCTTGAGGCTCTGTCTCAAAAAAAAAAAAAAAAAAAAGGGAGATGGCTGTGTCAGACTATGGGTATGTTAAAAATTCTAGGATAAATTCTCATACTGCCTTCCAGAAAAGACTTCCAATTTTAACTCCTACAAGCAGTATCCGTCTCCCCACACTTGCCAGTATGTAGTCATGTATTTTAACTGTTTACTAATCTGAAAGGTGAAAAGTGACAGGATTTTGAGTGAGTTTGAATTAAGCAAGATTGAGCATCTTGGCCAGTGGCGTTTCTTTCCCAGTCCAGGGCAATAGTTCTGAATCTTTGATTAGGTAATGTTTTGTAAGTCAGATGAAAAGTGGCAAAGCCCTGAGGAAAATATCCATCTTGCAGGACCCCTCAGCCCCTGAGTCCTAGGTATTTAAAATTAACCCCAGTTTAGGATAAATGCTGTCCAGGTCAGGACAAGGGTCATGACATTTTTGTTCACTAAAAGAAGGCTTAGGTTCATAAAAGGCTGAGAAATCCTGATTCCTTCTATGATATATACCTGTCTGAGTGACAGTGCTTACAGGTTTTGTCTTACAGGTTCCTGTCTTGTTGGGTCCAGTTCCTCGAGTCCATGTGCTTTCAGATTTATGGTTCAAGCAGTGTTGGTCACAGGTGTGCAGCTCTGAGGACCAATAAGTCTTAAATCTGATATAGCTTCATACTTTTCTTTGCCATTTACAGAGACCTTAAGGCTTGGCCTGAGTTGGGCTGTGCTTCCTTTGGCTATTTGTCTTTACTGGAAGGTGGTTCTGTACCTAAGCCAGGTTTTAAGGGACCTACTTAGGGTTGCTAGGGGCCTAAAGCCTCCTCAGAATTCCAGGGGAGGGTTCTGGCCTTGTTGGAGTTGGAAACTCTGAGGCTGCTTTTCACAGAACCACATTGCTCTTTGTTCTCAGAGCAGGTGAATGGCCAGCTTGGTCATGGAAGCAGAGGTCCAAAAATAAAAACTTGTCTTTCCTGTTGCCAGTTTGAGGCCTCAGACTTTAAAGTTCTTTGCCTTGTTGGAGGCAATCCTCTCCATAGTGGACAAGGTTGTACAGGGGAAGGGCCTAGCCAGGCACCACACACTGGAAAACAAGCCTTAATGTTGCCAGGCCTGTTGTTGAGTCTGGTCATTTTCACCCAGTAACTCGCAACATGTCAGGCCTTAAGCATTTCTGCTGGTGAAGTCTAGCATAATTTCCTTTCCTCTCTCATCTCACAAGATCACTGCCCATTCTAGTATGGGTTGATGGTAGAGGTTGTTAACTACCCAAATTTTACCCAGAAGCCCATATAGAAAGTACTGGAGCTGCTCTAGTTGAAGTTGGGACCAAGTTCTGGAGCCCCTTGCTGTCCTGACCCCCAATCTTTGCTCCCGAGATTCTCAGGACATCATTTGCTACCTGTAGACCTTCAGCTGCTTATTCAGCAACCCATGTGGGGGTGATGTGCTTACCTGTGGCCATCTAGTCATTTGGCCAGTTTCAGTGCCCACCCGTGAGGGAAGGCTGGGTCTCCCATCAGGCCTGCACCACAGGTGCCCGTCTACATCCAGATGCTGTGGCATCTTGACAGCTCCAGCCAAGACCTGGTGGGGGAGCTCATACCACTGGGGCAAACTTGGACCAGTGCAAGGGAGAGGATCCCACAGACAAAGCCCGTTTTCCTTGTCTCCCGACTCTTGTTTAGACGCTTTCAGGGAGTTTGGAGCCCTTTCCTGCCCCAGTAGCTGCCTGTTTCTTGGGAAGCTGTGGCCAGCTCCAATCCACTGCTTTAATTTACTGTTCTTCATCTTCATTTCCCCTTGCTCTCACTGAAAGTGGGGAGCTCTCACTCTCCTCTGCAATGCCCTACAACATAAGCCATCTGCTACGGGGCTGCATTTGGGGCACTGCAGGGGAGGTAGGAGAGAACCCACTTGTCAGAGGTTGAGTTTTTTTGCGTTCCTGGTGCTTCATCATTGGCTACCACAGTACGACACGTGTAAATTCTCACCTCCGCAGCGCTTGGCCACTTCTCCATAGACTTTGGGGATGACCGACGCCCAGCCGGCCAATGCTCTAGCTGCAGAAAGCGACCACGGTTCCCATACACCCTTACAGCGGACACTCACCAGCGCCTGTGCACTGCTGAGGCACGTGCCGAGGCATCCTGCGCGTGCACCCTGGAAGCATTGCGAGCCTGCTGAGAACCTGGGGACGCGGAGACTGCAGCCTGTGGGGGTCTCCTCACGTCACAGGGGTATCTCAGGGGAGGGCAAGGCCCTTCTACCCCCCAAAACTCAGGCAGAAAGGTGAGGATTTTTTTTTCCTGGCGGCTGTTTATTAAGCCAGATTCTCTCAGTTATTTTTTTTTTTAACTTTTTTTGGGGGGGTGGGCAAACATTTTTAGTACAAATGTCCTTAACGGCCGGGCGCTTTTAGTTCTGCAAGGTAGAGAATTTGGAAAAGAAGCTGTATA